CCTCGACCACTGAGCCACACCCCGAGCCCCTTTTTGCATTGTTTTTAGAGCCAGGGTCTTGCTGAGGTGCTTAGGGCCTCACTACATTGCCGAGGCTGGCTGTGAACTTGCCATCCTCCTGCCTCAGCCTCCCGGGCCACCTGGCCCCAGCTCCACCTGTCCGCCTTCCTACCATCTTTCTGTCCACCCCTACACCCTCCATCGTGTCCGACCACCCACTGAGGGCTTCCCTCCCCCAAGTCCTCACCCACCGCCCGCCGCGTCGCATCTGCCTGTTGGCTTCTGTCTGTGCCCCGTCTGCCTGCGCCCGCCGTCGCCCCCCCTGCCCGTCCACTTCAGGACGGTGGCCTCAGACCAGCTGGACTACCGCTGGTCAGTGCCTTCCAAACCTCACAGCCCCTCCCTGGGGCCCCAGTGACCTGAAGTCAAGGACGGCCAGCTTCCCCGAGGGGCTCTGACCCTGTCTCTGCTTTCACAACCACAAACCATCTCTCTTCCTTCAGCCCCTCCACAGTGCCGGGCGCGGCGGGAGGCGCGGCCAGCTGGGCTGCTGTGCCACTCCTCACCTGCTGCTTGTGGAGCCGGGCAGCTGGTTCCATGGGAACCCCTGCAACCCAGCACCTGGCCACCCTGGCCCACCCCAACAGGGAGCCCCATTTTTGTCCATCCAGGGTACGGGATTTAAGCAGATCTGGAACAAGGCTGGGAGGCTGGGAGGGGGCTGGGAGGAGGCAGTGGCAATGGCAGTTATCTGGACATGCAGGTCTGAGTTCCTCTCCTGCTCTAAACTCTTCCATGGCTCCCCAGTGCCCTCCGGGAAGACTGCAGGCTCAGTCCAGCTTCAGAGTGCAGCGTGCTGACTCTCCAGCCTCAGGCCGGCCTGATTCCCCCTCCACTCAGTAGCACCCCTTCGGAGGTCCAGGCCTTGGCAAGCCCCCGGCCCTCTGCACACACGCAGGTCAGAGACGCCCACCTCACTGGCTCAGCAGAGGCCCTAACAGAACACAGTGTCTGTCTGTGCTTTCTCCACCTCGAAAACTCCACCATCCTGCAAAGCCCCAGTGTGACGCAGCCAGGTCCCCCAGGCAGAGCGGCCTCCTTACCCAGGTCCTCCACCCCAGTCCCCTCTCCAAGCCCACCCTGAGCACTGTGGCTAGAGGCGTCGTGTGGGGCTCTGACCTCAGGTCCAGCTGTCCACGGCAAGGCCCCAGGTGCTCCTGGGAGGTGCCCGCGGAGGGGATGACTGAGGGGAGGGTGAACGGACCCCACGGGGCTCCCCCGCGTAGGAGGGCTCCCAAGGCGGGCTGCCTTCCAACGCGGCGTCCCCCCAGACGTCCAGGGGTCTCCTCGAGGCTCCCCGCTACTGTCCCCTCTGCGAGAGCGGTTTTCCCATCCACACTCCTCCTCGCCCTCAGGTCTCAGCCTCACCAAGCAAGTCCAGTGCCCCGCGGCCAAGCGCTGGCCATGTGCCAGGAGCTGAAGGGAAACCAGTCCTCAGCCCCGTGGCTTCCCCTGAGCTGGGAGGCCCACCGCCCCCAGGAAGCCGCCTGGCCTCCACGCCCTCAGGAGCAGGGCCTCGGGCCCTCACTGCCAGCGAGCGACAGGTCACATCCAGCAGCCTGGGACATGGCAGGACAGCTCTCTGTTTCTGCCCATCCCTGTGTCCCCTGGATGGCGGCGGGCAGAGGTCAGCCGAGTTGGTTCCTGGGTGGAGGAGGGGACTCCAGCCCAGGCCAGGTCCACCTCAGTGAGGGGCACAGCACGTGCTCAGGAAATGGTTTCCGCCTAAAGGGGGGTGTGGGGAGATGGCACTGTCACAGACACGAGGGTTCACGGGCACTGGGTGTGCTTGGCTTGAAGCCACCTCCAGGGAGGGTCCCTTCCACAAAGCCCCAATCCTGGTGGCCGCCCCGGCCCCGCCGCCCCAACCCGGCTACCGCAGAGACCCAAGGCACGGGCTCCCCAGCCCCGCGCCCCTGCCCCGCGCCTCCCTGGGCTGGCGTCACGGGGATCTCGCCCCAGCGGCGGCTCCAGCCCCCTCCCCGGCAGCTGGTGCTCCCATGGCAACCGCGCGCCGCCCCGCGCCACCTCCGCTTTAAGACAAATATTGTCATTAACATGCAAATGCATAGCGGTGCCTTAAATGGGGGCTGCGCAGCGCGACGCTATATCGGGCGCCTTCCCGGGCAGGGCGGGCGCAGGACCGCGGGGACCGTGGGAACCCATGGCAGCCCCCAGCCCCAGTCCCTGGCCTGGTGGGCCAGGAGTCCCTGATCTGGGGGCCAGGCCCTGGCCTCCCTGCCCGCTCCTTCTCCTGACCGGGCCTCCCCTCGGTCTTGCTCCTCCCAGGCTCCATGCCTGCTTCGCAAGGCCCAGCACCCCCGCTTCCTGCCCAGAACCCCACGCAGGCCGCCGCCTGACCTCCCGCCTTCCCGTGGCCTCAGTGCCAGCGCCCCCACCCACCCTTGACAGGGGTCATCTGGCACCACGGTCCTGCCCTCTCCTGGCTACCCTAGGGGCCACCCCTTGGCTTGGGGATGACCTGTTCCCCTGTGCCACAGGGATGAACCTCGGCTCCCCTGGCCTGGGCGGGGGCAGGGGGACAGGGCCCAGCTCTGGCCGGCCTGGGCACCAGAGTCTGCCTCTGCACCTCGGTTTCCCCGTGTGTGCTCAGGGAGCCCCTCTCAGTGACCAGCCTTCAGCGGGGATTAAAGGACCGGAGAGGGGAGACCAAAAAACTGGACAGTGGTGCCAAGTGAGACACCCAGTGACCCCTGGACACAGCTGAGGTGTGACACACGAGGGGTACATCCTCTGTGACCGTCACAGCTGCCCCAGTGCAGCCTCACAGGACACCCAGCAGCCAGGGACCCCGCCCCCGGGAAGACTGGCTGCATTGGAAGGGGTCCCTCCAGCCTGGGTCCACCCCACTGCCGCTGCTCGGAGCCTGCCCATGGTGACAGGGTGCTGCAGCCTGTTGGCTCCCCAGAAATGAAGCCAAATAAGATAAGCGCCTGGCAGGAGGTGCCCAGACTTCTCCTCCCAAGCACCCTGGCTTCCCATTCATCATTCCAGCCCGCTTTGGCAGAGCCCCAGAGAGGGCCAGCTCCTGGCCAGAAGTCACACAGCTGAACCCAAAGGCAGGACCAGATTGCAGATTCTGGCTCCCAGCACCCCACCTTCTTGCTCTCCAACTCTCTCCCACCAAGCAGCCAGGCCCTGCTCAGGAGGGGACCCCCTGTCCCAGAGGGCACCCGGGCTGGGCCTGTTTCTGATAGGAAGTAAAGCCCCTCCCTGTCTCTCCCAGCCTTGTGTCCAGGTCGCTGACTCAGGACCCCTAAGACGTGGAAGGTGAGTGCCACCTGTCAGGGACATCATGTGCTCAATTTCCACCTTCCCAGAAAGCTCATGAGTCCCAAGACCCCTGGGTGCCGTGACCCCAACATTCTCCAGCCAGAAAAAAATAACTGCACATTCACGGCCCCCGCCTCCACCGCCTGCTGGATGGCTGAGGTCAGGCGGCCCCACTGGACCCTTCTCTCCTGTCCGCCAGCTTCCAGGCCATTCAAAAATTAGAAAAAGAGGGAGGGGCCCCGCGAGCCCCCAGCCCCCACCTGTCTCCCTGCCCAGACCCCCAGCAGCTCTTCAAGGCAAGGTTTGGGGGCCACGAGGATGGCCCCCTCCCAACAGGATCCTCCTAGAAATGGCCATGTGGGGGGTCCAGTCAGCCAGGGACCCGGAGCCTAACGATGCCCCCCGTGCACCCTCTGCCCTCCTGGGCCACACCAAGGCATTAGATTTCCCAGTTCCCCGTTTGGGGGGCGGTATTGGTTCTGAAGAGATGGGTTGAAGGGGTTCTTCCCTCCCCCCATTACCAGGTGGGCGTCTGGCTGCGGTGACAAGCCTGGGGTCCATCCCGCCTGCGGCCTGAACCTGTCCCTCAATGCCCCTCCGGACCACGCATTCCTGCCCCGGTTTGGAGCAGCTGGGGCAGACCGGCACTGGGTCTGAAATAGGTCACGGCCCGCGTCCATCTCTAAGGCCCCCCAGGGTCTGGCTGCAGGATGGGGACCCAGATGTGTTCAGCATATAGCTTTGGCAGTCCCCACTGGGTCCCCGGCACGTGACAGAAAGCTTGTCAAACACCCACATTAGGACACTGGGCCCACAATCGGAGCCAAGGGCTGGGGCCAGGACCGCTGGGCACCCCGCCCCCCCCCCAGATGCCAGGAGACAGAGAAGCCAGGGAGGGCGGCGGGCCACCTCCCTCCCACCTGCCTCCAGGCCGCCCACGCCTCCCTCCTCCTCCTCGTCCACCCCAGGACTGGGGCTCTGCGCAGTCCAACAGTTGGGGTTCATTGTCTTGGCCTCGGACCCCACAGGCCGGGCCAGGGTTAACTTGAGCCAAAGGTGGACGCAGGGGGGGGGAGGGCCGGGACACGGCGGAGGGGGCGCCGGCCACGGAGGCGGCGGGCGTTTGCAGCCCGGGGGGAGGCGGCGCTCCCCGGCCCCCCGCCCGCCCCCTTGGTAGTTACCGATCGGGCTCAGCCCGGGGTCCTGGGCATCCGCGTCCCCACGGCGGCCGACCTGCCCGCCGCCCGGCTTTGTGAAAATCCCCCAAGCGATGGAGCCGAGGTGCGAACTTCCCCGACGGGGCCTGGGCCGGGGAATGAGCGGGGCGGAGGGCGGGCGTCCAGGCGGCTCCGGCGCGGGCGAGGGAGGGAGGGAGGAGAGGGTGGGGGTCCCGGGAGCCGGGCGGGACGGGACCGAGGAGAGGCTGCCTGGGACAGGATGGGAGGCAGAGGCAGCGAGCGGCAGGAAGGTGGGAGGCGGGGAGGGGGCGGCGGGGAGGGGGCAGCTCGGCTCAGCAGCGGCCCCCGGGGGAGGCGGTGGGCGGAGGGGAGCGGACGCCGGGCGGAGGCGGCGGAGGGAGGGGGCGGCAGGGGATGGGCGCGGGGCCGAGGTGGGGCGGAGCGGGGCGCGGGCGGGGGCGCGCCCACCTTTGTGCATGCCCGTGTAGGGGTCCTTGAGCACCGTGAGCTCGTAGATGCGGCCGAACTGCTCGAAGAGCGGCTTGAGGTCCTTCTCGTCCAGGTTGCGCGGGATCTGGCCCACGAACAGCTTGATGGCGTCCAGGTCCTTCATGCCGTCGGGCTGCGCCCCGGGGGGCTCGGGCCCGCTGCCGCCCACGGGCGAGGGCCGCGGCTGCAGGAGCTGCTGCTGCTGCCGGCGCGCCTCGCTCTCGGTCAGGCGGGCCATGGCGGGCGCGGGCCGGCGGCGGCGACTCGGCTGGGGACGCGCTCCGCCCGCCGCCGCCCCGCCCGCCGCCGCTGGACCACAAAGGCGGCGCCGCAGCGGCCCCGCGCGGCCATCGCGCGCACTGCAGCCCGCGCCGCGCCGGCGGGGAGACCGAGGCCGGGAGCGGGGAGCCGAGGCCGGTGGCACGTGGGGAACAGGCCCCGGGGGCTGGGGCGGCGGGGGCCAGAGGCCTGCGGGCGCGGGGGCGAGAGGCTGGCCGCTCTCCCGGGGCAAGGGGAGCGCTCACAGCGCGGCCTCCACAAGAACCGGACGCAGGCGGCGGCGGTCCGCGCTCGCCTGCAGAGTCCTGGCGAGGGGCGCCCTCCCCAGGGGTCCTGGGCGGCAGCCAGGAGCAGGGCCCGGCCCGGGAGCCACAGGGAGCCCAGCCGGGGCCACCCCCCCCCCCCCCCGCTGCTCCGGCGCCCTGGGCCTGCGCCCCGTCAGAGCCAACGACGGGAGACCGGCAACGAGGACAGCGTCCACTCTGCTGTGGCCGGGCACGGCGCTCAGCGCTCCCAGGTTTCTGACTTGTTTAACAAAAATAGCAATAATTGTATTTATAGCAACTGCAACCAGAGTGACGCGTTTTTGGACATCGCCGCAGCCGTCGTGCACAGTGCCTAAACTATTGGGAAATACATTGACACATTTAGGACAACCACTCTAAGGGCATCGTGTCACCTCTGCTTAAAACTCTCCAAAGATGTCCCCAGACTAAAGCCCAAGTCCTCTCTGCAGCCCACAGGGTCCTTCACAGCCAGCCTGGTCCCTCTCGTCCTCCCTCCTCCCTCTGCTACGGCCACCTGGGGTCTTCCAGAGCCCCCAGCATGCCAGGCTGGGTCCTGCCCAGGGCTTTTGCCCTCTGTGCCCTCTGCTGGGGACACCTTCCTCCACAGGGTGCAGGATTCCCTCCTTGGGTCTCCCACTCCCCTTCCGCCACCATTTCCTCTTTTCATGGCCTCCCTTTCTCTTCTGTAGCATTTATACTCACTTTAAATTGTATTTTGCTCTAATGAGACAGATATTGGCTTGATGTTGACAAACTACCTAGCTCCTGGCATGCGCCAGGCTCTGTGCTAAGTGCTTGCTGTGTACTAGGTCATTCGATCCACATGGCAAACCCTGGAGGTGAATACAAATAGAGAAGCAGACTTGTAGGACCTGCCACATATGACGAGGGGCGCTGGGGCAGGTGAGCAGAGAAATGGCTGCAGGAGGAAGTCAGGGAAGGTGCTGGGGAACTCAGGGCATGAGTGGAGAGGCGATGCAAGGGCCCTGGGGCAGGAAGCTCCTGTAGCTGACATGAGCTCTTAATGTGGCATCAGCATCAGGACTAGGGAAAGGTGGGTGGGGGGTGTCTTATTTCAGACCCAAAATTCAGCCATCAAGATAAATAATGTCCCATGGCATGGATAGACTACATTTTGTTTCTAGTCCATCCACCTGGAGTGGCCCTCAGCCACCAACAGGAGCGAGGTGACAGCTGCAGCATAGATGGCCCTAAGGACCTCGTGATCAGTGAGAGCCAGACACACAGGTCACAGCGGGTGACTCCGGGACAGGAGTCGGGGGAGTCCAGAGAGGATGTGGATCACAGGTGCAGAACTGGGAGGGACGGGGGGGGGGGGCTGCTCATGGGGCAGGGCCTCTTTTTGGAGTGATAGAAGGTTCTGGAATTAGGTGGTGGTGATGGTGGTACAACCTGGTGAACATACTAAAAACCACAGAATTGTAAAAAGAAATCTTGAATGAAAAATGTAATGCAATAGTTTTAAAGAGAGAGGGGCACAGAGGCCACACCTGTCGTCCCAGCCACTCGGGAGGCTGAGGCGGGAGGAGGGCACGGCCGCGGCGGGCCCGGGCACCTTAGCAAGATTCTGTCTCAAAGCCGAATAGAAAGGGCTGGGGTGTGGCTCCGGGAGGCGCAGCCCAGGGCCAGCCCCAGACCAGGACAAGGAACACCCGCAGCCAGCCAGGCCCCGCTCAGGACGGAGTCGAGGTCAGCGTGGCCGGGTGTCCTTTTGACTCAGCACCACCCTGGGACTGATCGCGGATTCGTTTTTATTTTAGTTTTTAAGTGTTTCTTCATTCAAGTTCCTTGTTTTTATTTTAAATTTAAATTTCTAATAGACTGCAGCAGTGCCAGAACCCTCGTCAGCCACACCAGTTCTGTCTTCATTTAAAACCGTGACATTTTGTTCAGCACAGATTTGGGGGGAAGCATTAATTTCAATTTTTTTTTTAAATCACACTGAATTGTTCGCTATCTGTCCTCCCCTCTTTTGGGGGTGGGGGTACCGGGGATTGAACTCAGGGGCGCTGACCCTCATCCCCGGCCCCCTTTTTCTTAATTTGCGTTGCTGAGCCCTGGACCATGGGATTCTGTGGTGAGTGGGGGCCCACACCTCGTTCCCACACCCTGCCCATCCTAGCTGCCGTCCTGAGAGGCAGGCAGAGGCGGGTCACTTGTCTGAGGCCACCCAGCAGGAGCACCGAGGGTCGAGCCCAGGCAGCCCCAGAAACCACCCCGATCTCACCCTTCGGCAGCTGCGCCTCCCTGTCCTTTCTCCTGTGGGACTGAAGAGCAGAGAGGCGCCCGCCGTGTGGACTCCCTGAGGCCAGGGCTGGGCCCACCTAGGACATCTCCCAGCTGCGAACACACCAGCGTCATGGCCACAGCAGCCTGGCCGCCAGGCGGGGCGGGACGTCGGGCTGGGGGGGCACAGCTGGGGTGAGAGGTGGGTTCTTCCCAAGGCAGCCCCCGCCTCGGATCTGCCAGCCGCGCTCAGGCTGGGAGAGCAGGGCCAGCCCCCGAGGCACCGGGGACTGCCAGAGACAGGCTCGTCTCCATGGAGACCCGAGCAGGATGCTCGGAGCCCGTGGGCCTGGGTGTGCGAAGCTGGGAGGGTCTTTAAAAGAATCCAAAGAAACCCACCCCCCCCCCGCCCTCCCGGAGCTGCCGGGCATTTTCTGCTCAGCCTCTTCCTCTTTCCTTCACCCCCAAAAAGTGGGGGAAGGGGAAGGAGCCCAATCCAGTGGTCCGACCCCCAGGAGCGTCCAGCCAGCAGCTCTGCCTGGAGTCTGCCCCCTGGCCTGGTTGACAGCCTCAGCCGGTCAGGGGCTGTCGGTGGAACCAGGAGGCTGAGCACCGGGAGGACTGGGGTGGCGAGGCTGACGCTCCTTTCCTATCAGCTGGAAGAGATCTGGTCACTGTCGGCCCAATGGCAGGAGGCCCACAATGTGGATGTCAGTGAAGGAGGGGAACCAGTGACAGCAGAGCCTGGGGAGCTGGGGTGGGCTCCCAGCTGGCCACTGGGCTCCCTGGACATCCTGTCTTTACCAACCTGCCCCAGGGCCTTGGCACCTCTTAGCTCTCACCTCCTGGGCTGCTCACAGCGTTTACCGTAGGAGAAATGGATCTAGACCATGGCTTCTCTGCCTCCGCGCTGTGGACAGTGGGGCTGGATGGCTCCCTGGGGGCGTTCTGGACACTGAGTGCAGAGCTGCAGCCCTGGCCTCCCCTACTCCAAGCCAGGACACTCCCCACCGTAATATCACACATGTCCCCAGAAGTGGCCCAGGGTCACTGAGGCAGTCACTCCCAACTGAGAACCACGGGCTTACAGCACTGAAGAGATGTGGGACTGCTGGCCCCGGTGCCCAGGGTCTCCAGGACACCCCTCCCCTGCCAGTCCCTCTGCCTGGGCCCCAGGGTGGATTCCCGAGGCCCCAGCTCCACCTCCGGGGCTCAGCTGAGATTTGCCAGCTCCACTCTCCCAGAAGCTCCAACCCGCCCAGGGGCCTCTCCAGGCCGCCTACAGCTGCCTGTGTGTCCCCTGTCCCCAGCCTGCTCATCCTGACCTCCAGGGCCTTAGTGATGGGGCCAGTGCTGGCTCCTGCACAGCATGTCCCTGCTCAGCCGGCACTGACCGCATGAGCATCAGGGGTCAAAGGGATTTACGAGCCATTTTTTAAAACTTCTCTTTGGGGATTTCTTTTCTCTTTAAATTTCAATTTTTAACATTTTAAAATTGATATTATGGGGTCCATGTGGCACTTCACACCTGGACCCGGCACAGGGACGGCTGGGCGTAACCTGCGTCTGCCGCTGGCTTTGTGTTGGGGACAAATTCCTCTCCACTAGCTATTTTGAAAAATCGATTACCTGTTGTCACCGTTGCTACCCAAGGTGATGGAGGACATTAGACACTATGCCTCCTGTCCCTGCCCCTGGCCCGGTGGCCATCCCCTCTCATCTCTCTCTCCCTCACCCCCGCTCTCCTCTTCCTGCAGTAACTGCGTGGCTCTGAGACCAGCAGTCTCTGACCTGGGAAGCGGGTGTGGGCCTGCAGCCGTCACTCAGTGACTCGGGAGGCCCAGGCTGGGGGGGTGCAAGTTCCAGGCCCTGGGGTGGCTCAGGAGTGGAGGCCTGGCCAGGCCCCGGGCAGAACCACCGCCCTGGGAGCAGCCAGCAAGGGAGGGACACGGTGGAGGTGGGGTGGGCTCTGCGGAAGGGCTTGCCGGGGAAGCCGGGAAGGCGCGTTGACACGGCTCCATTCCCTGCCGGGATCCTGGAGCTCGCCACCTGTGCTGGCAGGTGACGCCTGGTCTCTGCGGTGCCAGGCATCCCGCGGGCTCAGAGCCCTGTGTCCATCGGTGATGCACCCTCTGGCCCAACGCCTGTGGAGAGAGCCCAGGAGGCCCGCTCCCTCCCCGGGCTCTGAATCGCAGGGCGGCTGAAGGACACCCTTTACCGCTTGGGTCATTTCTGAGTGCACAGGGCAGACATCACCTCAAAGCAAGGGACCTGCAGTACCACAGTGGTCTCATGGGATCGTCCACAATCCCAAAACCTCCTTGGCCTGGTGAAACCATAGCCCTGGTGATGTCGCTGCCAGAGGATTGGCATGTGCAATGGTATACAGAGGTGACAGTTGACGACGATGCCCGCCCCTGCCTTG